GGTTTAAAATAGATGGACTTCAATTCCCAGAATCCCCCAGCCAGCATAGTTTAAGATGGCTGGACTTCAACTCCCAGAATCCCCAGCTAGCATGGTTAAGAGTGGTGGACTTCAACTCCCAGAATCCCCCAGCCAGCATGCTTTAAGACAGGTGGACTTCAACTCCCAGAATTCAAAGCCCTTCTACGTGCAGGGCACAGCCCCCTGCCCCTATGCCCACCCTTCTAAGATGGCCTCCAACTCACGAAGCCAAAACAGGCTGGGGAATTCTGGGAGTTGAAGTCCACCCCTCTTAACAGTCACCAAGATTGAAAATCTCTACCTCCCCCAGACTCATTGGCCCTGGAGAAATTATTTGAGGGGTGGGCCCCGTTTTGATTCACTGCCTTTGGTCAATGCAATTTTGGCTCTTGTTTCCCCCCCTAGGTGCCAGGCCCCCCCAAACCTCCCCCACCCCAGAAGCCGCTGCCTTTGGATCCGCTCCGGGCCGTACCCAGCTGTGATCCTGAGGTCCAGATGTTGCCATCCAGGTGAGTCTAAAGGTGGAAAAGAGGTATATTTTTAATTTTGGGGGGGGAGCAGGAAAAAAAACAAACCAAAGTAAATATTGCTTTCCTGCAAAAGGTTGCAGTGATATTACCATAGGATAATCAAAACCGTCATAAAGGTGAGCAAGTTGCCAAAACTGTCGCCATGGGACATCTGTTTAGTGACCAAAGTTACAATGATGCTAAAAAAAAGGGGGACTTATGACCAATTTTCACCCTTAATGCCGATTGCAGCCTCTCGGTAGGTCACGTGACCAAAATTCAGACACTCGGCAACTTACTCGTATTTACGACGGTTGCAAAGTTCCAGGGTCAGGTGATTCCCCCCCCCCCCTTTGACGATGGGGAAGCCAGGTTCACTTAACAACTGTGGGACTAACTTCCCAGCTGCAGGGATTCGCTCAACGACTGTGGTCGTACAATGGAGCAAAATTCACTTTAATGTCTCACTTAGCAACAGAAATTTGTGGTCGTAAATCGAGGACTAGCTCTCTTTCTTTTTTTCTTTCTCGGCTTTTCTTCCAGGCCTGCCCCTCCACCTCCTCCCCCCACGCTGGCCAGCTCTTCAGGATACCCCCACGAAATATAACTTGGCTCGCTCGCATCGAGCGCCCCCTTCGACGTTGCACAAGGCACTTCCGGAGGAAAGGACCGTCCGCCATCTTTCCCCATCGCTCGCTTGGCTGTAGATTTTGCAGAACGACAGGCTCCCCCCCCACTCCATCCGTCGCAAGCACGGGGCAGCGATGGGGGATTTGTCCGGGATGGACATTTGGGCGGCCATTTTGACTGTCTCCTGCTTCTGAATCCTCTCCGGCCCAGGGGAATTCTGGGAAAAAAAATATTTGCACTAGCAAGGCGAACTCTCCGTGGCGCCCCCTGGAGAGGCAGTTTGTGGATGTGCGTGTCACACACCCGTGAGTGTGTGTGTGTGTGTGTGTGTGCAAGAGGAAAGCTAGTCTCCAACGGAAGTGGATTCCTCATCACTGGACTAGCTGGGACGCCATCTTTTTTTTTTCTTTTTCCTTAATAAAAAGGGATTTTTGGGGCAAATCCTCTGGTTTTTGGATCAAGGAACAGTTGACAGGGTAGCGCTCGACTTACAACTGTTCGTTTAGTGACCGTTTGAAGTGACTGGGTGCCCTTAAAAAAAGTGACTTTATATTATGGCCATTTTTCACACTTAATGACCATTTAAGCCTCCCACGCAGTCCCGTGATCCATATTCAGCCGTTTGGCAACTGACTTATGTCCTTATGAGGGTTACATGATTCCCTTTCCAGTTCCAGGGGGGGGAAGCCTGATTCGCTTAACGACGGTGTGGCTCATTGAACCCCTGAAAGCGATTCACGTCAACGAACGTGGCGGGGAAAGGCGTAACGTGGGGGCAAACCTCATTTAGGACAAAGGTCTCGCTTAGTGGCATAAATTTGGGGCTCCGTTGTGGTCGTAAATTGAGGACTGCCTGTATTCTCTCTCCCCCCCCCCCCAGTCTCTGCATTATTCCTCCACTAGAGGGCACTTCAGTCCGTCATCTCTCCCAAACTTGCCTTTCATTTGATTTAATTTAATTTATTTTAATTTGATTTATTAAACGAGTGAAAAATGAAGCAGCTATGAAGTGAAAGAAATGGCAGAAGGGCTCGGCAGTGGAAAGTTTGCCCCACTTTATGACCTTCCTTGACACGGTCGTTCAGCGAATCACTGCCGTTCTTCAAGTCAGTTCACACGGTTGTTTAGCGAATCCAGTTTTCCCCATGGGAGGTCGCAAAAGGAGGACCAAGGCACTAAAACTGTCATAACTACGAGTCAGCTGCCGAGTATCTGAATTTCAACCATGCAGGGAACTCTGCGGTGGTCATAAGTGTGGAAAACGGCCGCAAATCCCTTTTTGTCAGTGCTGTTGTAACTTCGGTTACTAAATGATCGGTCATAAGTGGAGGACTCCCTGTACAGAGGGAACGGAGGCCTCGTGAGGTAAAAAGCGATGAACGGGATGTTGGGAAGGTCTGATAAGAAATTCCTTGACTTGCAAACGTTCATTTAGCGACCAACGTGAACGGCGCTGGGGGAAAAAAAGGCGATTCGTGACTGGTCCTCGCACTTATGACCGTCGTCGCAGCCTTCCCCACAATCACGGGATCAAAATCGGGGCGCTGGGCAGCCGGGTGGTATTTAAAACAGTAGCAATTCGAGGCCACGTGGCCGCAACCTTCCCAGCTGGCAAAACCAATGGGAGGGGAGAAGCCGGATTCACTTAACGACGGATTTGCTCAACAAGCCTGGCCAAAATAATAATAATAATCGGGCGTGATTCGTTTTAACAACCCCGCTTGTTCTTACGACCTTTTCCGGTGCCATCAGAAGCTTCTAAAGGGTCGCGAAATGAAAGTTTGTAAACAGGCCTCTTGATAATATCACCAGATGTTGACACCTCCGTGATTCGGTTTCACCCAGATAGACTGCCTTTGGAGTTGGAGGTTCTGGCGGATCCAGCTAGACGGCAACTCCTTGCCTTTGCAGGTGACACCTGGCCAGCTCTGAAGCAGGTGGCACTTACCTACATAGATAAAGCTGTATAAATAAACATTTATTTATCTGTTAAGTGTATTTGCCGTCTGTCTGTCTCGCCGTAAGGACCTCCTTGGGCTCTGTTGTTCTTTTTGAGCAATGGGGTTGGACCAGATGACCTCCAAGATCCCTTCCATGGTTATTCTGTCTTTTGAGCAGGGGGTTGGACTAGAAGACCTCCAAAAACCCCTTCCAGCTCTGTTATTGTCTTTTTAATCAGGGGGTTGGACCTCCAAAGTCCCAGCTCTGTCATTTTTCCTTTTTTTTCTGTATTCTGAGCAGGGGGTTGGACTAGATGACCTCTCTAAGTCCCTTCCAGCTCTGTCATTCTCCCTTTTTTGAGCAAGGGGGTTGGACTAGATGACCTCCAAAGAACCAGCTCTGTCATTCTGTCTTTTTTGTGCAAGGGGGTTGGACTAGACGACCTCCAAAGAACCAGCTCTGTCATTCTCCCTTTTTTTGAGCAAGGGGGTTGGACTAGATGACCTCCGAGGCCCCTTCCAGCTCTCTCATTCTGTCTTTTTTGAGCAAGGGGGTTGGACTAGATGACCTCCAAAGTCCCAGCTCTGTCATTCTTCCTTTTTTTTCTGTATTCTGAGCAGGGGGTTGGACTAGAAGACCTCTCTAAGTCCCTTCCAACTCTGTCATTGTCTTTTTGAGCAAGGTGGTTGGACTAGGTGCCTTCTGAGGACCCTTCCAGCTCTTATTCTGTCTTTTTTGAGCAAGGGGGTTGGACTAGATGACCTCCAAAGAACCAGCTCTGTCATTCTGTCTTTTTTGTGCAAGGGGGTTGGACTAGACGACCTCCAAAGAACCAGCTCTGTCATTCTCCCTTTTTTTGAGCAAGGGGGTTGGACTAGATGACCTCCGAGGCCCCTTCCAGCTCTCTCATTCTGTCTTTTTTGAGCAAGGGGGTTGGATTAGATGACCTCCGAGGCCCCTTCCAGCTCTGTCATTCTGTCTTTTTTGAGCAAGGGGGTTGGATTAGATGACCTCCAAAGACCCAGCTCTGTCATTCTGTCTTTTTTTGAGCAAGGGGGTTGGACTACATGACCTCCGCAGTCCCAGCTCTATTCCGGTAAGTAGACGAGGAGTAGAGGCAGGCGGGAAGGTTGGGCCCCTTCTCCTCCTCCTCCCCCCCCCCCTCCCCTCGCTTGGAAGTTTGGCTCAAAGTTTTGTTTTTCTTTTTTTGGGGCTCCAGCGCGGCTCCTGATTGGCGGAAAAGTTGCGAGCGAGTGTGGAGGGGGGGGTGGGCGGAGGAGGCGGGGCCGGGCTTTCCCCTCCCCTCCCGCCGCGACTCCTCCGGGCCGCCGCCGACGCTGCGCCCCCCTTTTCCCCTCCCGACGGAGCGATGCGCCCCATGGAGGCGCTGCTGCCTTGGGGGCTCCTGGTCTTTTGGGGCGCCCTCCTGGCCCGGCAGGTGCGAGGCCTCCGGCACAGCGTCTACTGGAACGCCAGCAACCCCAGGTAGAGCCAGAACCGGAGGGGAGGGGGAGGAAATGGGGAGGGGGGCGCCGCCAGGGTTCCTTCGCCCATCCTCCACTTCCCGGGCTCTGGAGTGGTCAAACGCAGCCCCTCCCTTCTTCCTTCGCTCCCCTTCCTTTTCTTTCTTTTCCTTTCCTTCTTTCCTTCCTTCTGCCTCTAATCCTCCCTTCTTTCCCCTTTCTTTTCTTTCTTTCTTTCATTCCTTCCTTCTTTCCTTCCTCCCTTCTCCCCCTAATCCTTCCTTTGCTCCCCTTCCTTTTCTTTCATTCATTCTTTTTCTTTCCTTCTTCCCTGCCTTCCTTCTCCCCCTAATCCTTCCTTCCCCTTTTCTTTCTTTCTTGCATTCCTTCTTTCCTCCCTCCCTCCTTCCTTCCTTCTCT